GCTGCACCCTAATTCCGTGACGAACATCTGATGTCTCGTTTAATCGAGTTGCAAGAACGTATTGCGTTTTAAGAAACGAATTTTAAGTGATGAATCCTTCCAGTCTAGGACATCATTTCAATAACAGTGAAGAGGTAAGGAAGTAAATCTTAATATTATCCATTTTAAGTTATCAAATATTTTGCTAGAAGTTTTGGTTAAAATTATCTTTTGCAGGCCGTGTATACAGTAGTGTGCAGTAGGATGGTACTTTCGGTTTTACTCGTCATATCCTCTTATTAAAGTAGTTTCTAAAATTGAAAGCACTGGAGCAATTCAGTTATTTATAGTTAAGAAATCGGGCAGAAAAGGACCAACTTCATCCAGCAAAAGCAGAATGTCATCATAATGTAGTTCAAATAAGTAAATGCATAATAGCCAGACCAAAACGTAAGTTTTATGCATGTATAATCTGTTTAGTTCGAAAGGACATAAGCAGGCTCTTAATCATAACAGCTAAAGAAAGTGATCTGCTAGAAGGCTGGAAAATATGCATTTACCAAGTGAAATTTTTAAAATCAGCTGTGGCTTCCTTCTTCAACCCAAAATAATAATACACAGAAAAAATTCCTTAGTTACGAATAAAAGATCGGCAGGTAAATGATGCTAGCATTGTAGAATAAAAAGATAAGGTGAGCAAGGCAAAATGGTGAAAGAAAGTGAAAGGAATATTAAATAAAAGAAGGGATGATAAAAGGCAGAAATAGGTGAAAATGACGATAAAAGAAGATAGATAACAGAGAGTGAATTGCTTAAAATTCAAATTTAATGAAAAAATTTTTACATCGATTTGTATATGATGAAAATTTGTTAGCCAATCCTGTGATTTGATATCGCTGATCGAATAAACATGACTGATGCTTTTTTTTCTTGTTCAGTCTTTCGCTTCTAGCGTAATTTGAACTAAGGTGCTTTAGGAGAAAACAAATGCGCCGTTATGATCGCACTTATGGAATGTTCGTCGGTTAGAACTATTCAGAATTTTATACCAGTGATCAGTCTGTGGTAAGGAAACTTTAGAAATATTTTTTCTAACAGCTTTTCTGTTGATTAAAGTCATTTTGATCTTGAATGGCCGTGTGTTTATGATTAAAGGCCTGGCTTTAGCGGTTGGTTTCATCTTCGAACTGCTGCTATAAATAGATGTTTACGAAACGATATTATAATCTAGGATGTCTTGTAGTGATTGGCGTCCAATTCAGGAAAGATAAGTCCTGAGTTCAGGCCCTGGTCAGATCACTCGCCCTTCTTCCTTTCGAGATCGATGAGTGAGTACCAGTGTATGGGAAGGAAAGTGGAGTCTGCACGTTACGCTTGACCCATGGCTGTAGACTGTGCCTTAAAACGTAAGGCTTTCCTTGCTGATAGCATAGAAACGGAGTTCTGCACCGAACCATCAACTTTATGAAAAGAAGGGTGGCCGAATAACCGAATCATGGAAGTAAAGGAAGACCTCCATTTAAACGTTCACTTTCTTTTCCTCTAGTCATTGTTAAAGAATAATTTTCTAAACACATTCATGCAACGCATGTAAATTAAATTGAATTCGGTCCGCTTGTTGATTTTCTTTAGTACTTCTTTTTTAAGCATGATTTAATGCATATGATGAATATTTCAAAGATCTGTCAATCCAGTGAGTATATCAGTACTCTGATCCAACTTCTTTTTCTGATTTATTCGTTAAGCATTTCTTTTCGTCTCGTCATGCATAAATCGTTAAGCATGTCAAATTTAGATTGAAGGCGTTTTACGGATTGCAGTTTTTGACGCGCATATTTTCAAGGTAGAATGCGATATTTTGCCTACAATTTATGCATTCTGATAAGCTATTTCTAGCAAAATCAACCTGCGCTTGTTATTTGTAGAGTGGAATCTGTGATGCATTAAATTGTTTCCAGCAAGCAGAAGGAAGCAGATAGATCCTTAAAGACAAAATGAAAAAGTCACCCTGCTTTTTGGACAGCGACCGCAAATGGCAGATTTATCATATATTTGATTCTTGATGTGTTATAACACCTGTTGAGTTTTAAGTAAAAATGAATTGTTTAAGACTTGTATTACTGTCAATATTGACTGTACACAGACGTTTGTATGATTCTGCCATAATAATATAAAGTGCTTTATTACTGTGATTAAATTGTTACATTTTAATTATTTAATTAATCTGTGCATTATTTGTTTGGAGGGCATGAAGCGAATAATGCTATAATGAAGCACGTTATTAAAGGTAATCGACTCCAGCTGAGTCATATAATAGTTAAGTAAACATTCTTTACTCAAACACGCTCTGCTAGTAGCACAGCATTTATTTCAATAAACCATGAAGACTGTAACGCAAGGAGTATTAGAAACAGCAGTACTAATAACTGTCACTGACGAACAGGCAATAAAAGCCGTTCGTTATTTTTGGTAGAAACCGGTAGAGCAGCATTATTTCAGTTGAGCTAATAGCAAAGAGATATTTTCTAAATAATTCTTGAACGTACTGGCGAACCGTGTCAGGGTAGCGCCATCGATTATCCGATGATCCGCCGAGTAAGCAACGGTAAGCACCTGTTTTTTCTCGATGTCTCCCTGGCGGTTAAAGCGAGGCAGTGCCTAAACATTGAAGATAAACCAATTTAATAAGTTATTATAATCTTAGCGTGTTAAATCATCGTTTTGTGCGGAAACCGCCCACGCTTAGCTTATTACTGAATGTCGGTATCCCATAATTGTATTTGATTCTTTCATAGCACAAGCGTATCAGGTTGAAGGAAGTTATTTTGGGCAATAAAGAATTTATTGAATGAAGGAACACTGTTGAATGGTGTGTTCTCAGGTAAACGCAGTTGTTCCTTCCGCAGGATATTCAAGTCAGTTTTTTTTTAACAACGTCCTTTCTTTGACCTTAAAAATTTACTACGTGAACATGTCTTTAACTGTTGAAATATCAGGAAATACAAACCTATTCCTAGCAAATACTGGCATTCGTTGGTGGTTCTGAATGAACTGTCCTGCCCCACTTTTATTTAGGAGCTCAGTGTGGAGATGAATTGTCTGTGTTACTTCGATATCGAGTAAAAGTGGCTGAAATAGCTTTCTGGGAAGTATATCCGAGAAAGCCTTGATGTGCAGTTGCTGCTTCAGGTTGATCACTCACAGCTGCAATGGTTTAGACACGTCCTACGAATGCTTCCAGAAAGGAAGGCAAAACAGCTACTCTGGCTCAACCGACTAGTCGAAAACCCCCGAGATGGCTAATAATGATGGGAGCAAGTGCCGACAGACTGGGTCATCTGCAGTTAAAACGCTGGCACAGGATAGGGAATGTTGGAGACTCTCTGGCACGGCTAGCTCTAAGACTCCGTAGGTTCAGCGGTCATCGAAACTGACTGACATATTAACGCAGTAACGACTGTCTTAACTTCATGCAAAACGTTTCTTATAGTCAGGGTCTAGATATACAGTGAAGAGATTGAAAAGTAGCGTGCCTGAATTTTTCCGATGGCCATGATAGCGACTTCTGGAGGGAGGATCAGTGGTAAACCACAGACTCCGCCGATCTATAAATAATGTATGGAACGAGCACCATTAATGGAATTACAACTAACGGATCCTATGTTGGAGATGGTGAATGTGCCGTTCTTAAGATCTTCGCGGACGAAACCAGGCCCTCTACTCTTCTTGACGAGTAAGGCTAGCTGGTCGGCTATTTCCCAAATGGACTTGTGGCCACAGTCCTTAATGTTCGGCACCACTAAGCCGTCGGCGGTGTCCATCGCCACTCCGATATTGTGTAACGCCTAAAGCAGATTTCCAGATGCCCCGTATTAATGACACTACTTGTAAAAGAAAACAAACCTTGAGTGTGATCGTCTGCTGGCTTTCGTCCAAAACGCAGTTTAGCTTTGGATATTCTTTCAGTGCAACGGACACTGCCTTTGAAAGAGGATAGGTCGACACAAAAACCGCTATAGCCTTACCTTTATTAAAATAGGCATTAGGGTCAGACGCATGTTTCTGTTCTTGGCAGTCTCGTTCAGACTGTTCTTCACCTCCAACAGAACGTCAGCGGCGATCTGTGAATATGGCAAGATCAAAATACACGCACGGCAAAAACTTTTACCTCGTCGATGAGGGTAAAATGAGGAATGTGATTTGCAGCTGTCATTGTTTTCAACATCGTTCTGTCGTATCCTCGCAGAGGTACCGTTTTATCTGCTACATCCAACACGGAAGCGGTTTGTTGCGTTTCATTTGCTAATGATAGGCCGTCTCTGCCTACCATGCCCGCCTGTTTCTTTTCAGCTGAAGAATGGATGCAGTTGAGAAACAATATTGCTTTGTATGTTTCTGTGATTGTAGGTAGGTGTTTAGTACTGTCTCTGTAGTATAACAGGTTTCTGAGGGGGAATGAAATAGCAACCTTTCGGAAATCCGTTTTCTTCACTTTTTTTAAATGGGCGATAGTTATAACGGTCTGCTCGAACGACATTGGCCTTTCTTATATTTCGCTTAGCAGAATGC